TTTCTTAAGAAAAAAAACATGAGAGAGATCATCAGAAAGAAAACACAGACAGACAACCTCCTCACAACTTTGTCTTGAAAAATATCAGTTGCATGGTGATAGAACCATTTTCAATATCCAGAAGAGATGCTGCACATCTGAATAACAGAAGCATGAGAGCAATGATGACAGTCTAGCCTATGACCATAACAGCCCTGCATAAACACCACAACTTTTGAGTTCTACTGGAGAGGAAATTAGAACAGTTTAACCCATCTTCCAGAGTCTTCTCTGTTAAGAAGAAAAAACTACTAAAGGACAGTTTACATTTTTCCTGGAAGGCCACAGATTCAATCAAGTCACTGACCTCACCATGCTATTAGTGGTGCTCTACATCTTCCCTCCCTTCAATCTCCGCACATTTTGAAGTTTATCCTAGTATTCTTTCAATGTATCCTAAATAACATTGTTCTAGTTTCTTTTTAAAACCAATTCAAACTGGAGCCATTGTAAAGGAATTTTTCGCAGAACAAAACCACCTCCAAATGTTTCTTTTTAGCACTGTGTTTTAATTTCAAGTTCACATTATCAGCCTTCACTACCTCCCTTACAGTCTTATATCAGTGTGGCAACTCATACACACAGAGAAGAGAAAAAGCAAAGTGCTTGGAATTCTCAAGAGCTCTTTCTGGTAAGCTCCAGTTGCTATAATTAGACAAACCCTTTTCTAAATTGTAAATACAACTATCAATACTAATAAAAATGAAAACTGAGATCAAATACAATAGAACAAGCCAATTTTAAATGTTCCATTTCCTCCCTGTTATCTCAAAATGTGCCCCAATTTAACCCTCAGAACTCAAATACAATGGTTGTTTCCATCGTTGTCTTAGCATACAAGATACCTATGTAAAATAAACAACAAAATCAAAAGATCTTATTCATATGTCACAAAACTAATACCATAAAAATAGGGAATAAAGACAAAAAAAGGATTTTAGAAGCAAAGCAGATTCTGAATCACAAAATAATTAACCTGACACTTCTAATTAGCCTAATGTAATTTCAAGTACCAAAAAAGACTTAAATCCTACAAAAATTTAAAGTTTAACTTCACATTGTAGACACTTTACTTTCTCCACTTGCTGAATTAAACTTGTAACATCATATCAAAACAAAAGGTGAACAACCAGTTCAGATCTCAACTGTTTCACTCTGCTTCATTTTTTTAAATATGTTATTGTTCTAGATAACAAGCTCATAAAATAGTCCTAAAAGATCTAAGTACTAGAACATGAAGCTTCTTAGTTCCCCTAAATATAGCTGCAGTCACATGGCTGTCATTAAGACATTAGCTTTTCCGTGCTGGAATACCTCCTAAACCTTTTCCCCCAAAAAATTAGATTGTGCTTCAGTCTTATATGAAGTACAGCATTTAACTTCTCAGCAGCTTATATAAAAATACACATCCACGAAGAGAACCGCACCCCCAAAACCACAAAGGAGCACCTTTACAACTGCACCACTGAAAAGCAAGAAAAAATTATTTGCTGCTCAACAGGAGTCTGTGATCACCCAATAGCTATTTGTTAGCCTTTTCTTAAAAAGAACGGACTATATAAATAAATCTTATTTATTTCTATAAAGAATAATTAAAAAAAACCAAAACCAAAACAAAACCAGAAATGTAGCTTAAGATGATGATCAGTTCTCAGGAGTAAATCTGTACTTTGCACCTTGTAAACACATAAATTCATACCACTCCATGACCAGTTTCAATACATTCAGATTGCACTCTTAACAGTAATAGAGCAGATCTGTAGATGCTTGGCAGAAACCAAAAAAATGCGTTTCCAAGACAGCAACCAACGGACATCCACCAGTAGAAACACCAGGCATAAAGTTTCATTTCACTGATGGGAAAAATAAATTAATACACACTATTTCATATGGTACATTCAAAACCACGAGCGCTTCCCATACAGCAGCTTTCAGAACTCCCCGGTGTAAAATTGGTGCTACTTTTCCTACTGTTCAAACAGAGAACCTGAAAAAAACTGAGCTGAAAGCACTTCACCATTGAGTCATTCAGGGAGGTGGGGGCAGAGTCCCGGATTTCTGGCTGCCAGCCTTCCACTTCTGCCACTACTCAGCACATCTCCAACCTTAAAACCACATATAACCTCTTTCTAATCAACCACTTGCATTGTTTCCCCTTCTGGGAGAGAGATGTGAGAGGTCACAATTATATCAAAGCGCAGGGTAGCCTTAGCAACTTCACTGCACCAGAGCACTGAAGGGTACATAACCTCTCTAAGAGCTTGATTTTGCCAACCCCCTGATGCCAACAGAAATGCCAGAGACCGCTAGTTTCACCAGGAGGGCTGGCTCTCTGAGGAGACAACTCAGGTGAGTGTTTGCAGGATAAAGAGATCATACACGTAGACACTGCAAACGGCAGGTACCAGCGACCGCTGGCTCTTAGGTTTCACCTCAGAAACCCTCTTGAAAAAATCCCAGGGTAGAAGTCTGGACAGCAGAGCTGGGAGCAGACAGAGGCAACTCAGCTCTGGAAATGGGAGGAACTGGTCTTCTCTGAAGCTCAAGAGTACTGCTAAGGCACAGCTGGAGCATGAGAGTGGAAAAATAGCAGGAAAAATAGGGCAGCAAGAAACCCTATTCCAGCCTTTCCAAAACAGTGTATTATTTCCATCAGCAGCCTGGAAAGTTTATTGCAGAAATCTTCAGGTACTGTCAGAGCCTTGTAATGATGCGTTTACCCATCATGCAACCACCAAGCATCCAATACAATGGGTCTCAAACACACTGTTACTCTGACCATCTAGATATGGGTAACTTGACTATTATTATTTACAGGATATCAGCTGGCTAGATCCACTGCAGACTACACTACGTTACTGCACAGAAAATACCCTTGGAGCCATCATATTTTCCCAGTCTTTCATAGCTTCTGTATGCCAATGACAGTTTGAGAGGGAAGATTCTTCAGAAGTACTTTTAATTACTATTTCCTCCTTAGCTAGAATGCATTAATTATAGCCTGTTTCTCCAGATAATAAGAAAACAAAAACCAGTGCAATATGAACACTACAAGAAACTTAATTACTGAGTCAGATGTCCTTTAGATGTCAGTATGACTACAGTGAGGAGCAAGAAAATAAAACACACACATATCAGCCTCAAGTTGTTAGATCAGTTATCAAAACAATGTCTTTCCTCAGCAACTTAATTTTGAAGAGCTCAACCAGCTAATTAATCAAACGCCTGTTACGTGTTTCAAAAACGTGCTTTTTAATAAAGGAGGCCTGCTGATGTATTTATTACAAGGCAAATGTGGTAAATGGTTCTGCATGCAAATGCAGAAGTGCAGCATGACTTTGAAGTTTGAAGGTCAGATACAGGAACCATTCTCATAAAGGTTCTTATGTCAGACTGCATCTTCTGGTTTACATCTGAGTTTAGGAGGAGGAAGAAAGAGAATTAAAAAGAAAAAAATTGAATCAACCAGTTCTGTGACAACTTAAGAAGAACTGGCATGCTATCATTCACCTGCTTTCCTTTAAGGATCTGCAAATAGTCTCCCACAAAATGAAGAAAGAAAATGAAAAGGGTGCTGGGGACACACACAATTTCGTTCTGATTTTCAACTGTTTTCTTCATCAGGAAAAATCAATCTACTTAGGTCAGCAATGATTTTGTTTAACACGAGAATGTCATCTCCTCCATTTTCACAGGCATTTCAAACCCACATCATTTAAGAGAGGTGATGGATTTTCTTGTTGATCAACATGTTTTATTTTAAAGAAGTATAGACTCAACGGCAGAAGCAAATCAGAGGATTATGCATTGATCTGTTACCAGGCATCAGCGAATTTAACCCTTACCATTCTATATTCCCAGCAACTTTAGGAAACAAAACTCAACAGCTGGGCCTGAAGGCAAACAAATATGCCTCAAGTACCAGAGTCTGATCCAAGTCAAAAAAAAGAAAAAATATGAAGAATGTTTTACATACATGCCTCGAAGACAAATAACCAATATGGATTTCTTTTTAGCACCACCATCACGTTTAAATTCAGTAAAACTGATAACACTTCCCGGTAAAACACTGAGTTATAAACAATCCCTCTTACACATAAATAACAGAGACATTATACAAAGCAGACAGGAACATGGACGGATGTACACAAAATAAACACATTCAAACTTACCCCACTCCAGATACTCAAGGATGTTCTTCTCTCTTCTCAGAGGGGAATTATTACATTCATCATAAAGGCAGATGAGTATATCCAGCAAGGTTTCCACACTGAAGCATTGCCCATTAGTCTGTGTTGGCCCATCCAAAATAAACTGCTCCAACTGCTTCAAACGCACTTCTCCAGACATGGTTGTTTCAGTTTGCATTGGGGTTTCTTTTTTAATGATTATTATTACTTTGTCAGAAAAACAACAACAAAAAAAAACTTTTGAGGGTTTTGTTGTTTAAGAAGAAGTCAACAGTATTTTTAACAAGCGTCAAACCGTGGCAGTGCTTAATTTCCAGCCTACCTCTGTGTTCCCAGCCTGAAACTAAACCCTTGGAGTTTCAGACACACACATGTAGTGTGTATATCTGTGAACATATGATTTTTAAGCGAAGAAAATAGTTATACGTAAAAAAATGTAATAGGCTTAATAAGAAGGGGGGGGGGGAATATATGGCCACTCCTGGTGCTTTAATAATAATAATTGCACTCAAATTCAGCCGAGACTGACTGACACCGATTTCACTGTGCGTGCCCAGGCACACGCACTTATATATTTAAGGTCTTCTCCTTCATTCCCGATGCAGATCATGCAGCGCGATCCTGAGAGGAGCCCCGCCGCAGCACCACGGGATAACAGCCCCTCCGGATCCGCTTCCCAGAACGGATGGGAAGGGAAAAACAGGCGTATTTACGTGTTTATATAAGCGAAAGGACGAAGAAACGAGGGCGCACACCGGCGGGGAGGGAGGGATGAGGGGGCCGCGCAGCCCCGCCGACCCCGCCGCCTCCCCCGGCCCCAGCAGCGCCTCCGCGGCCACCGCGGGGTGGGGCGCAGCCCCCCCTCCTCAGGGCGCAGCCACGTCCTGCCCCGGGCAGCCTTTCCCTTCCTCCTCCTCCTCCTTACCGAGTCTCCTTTTAAGGCTTTTCAGTGATTCAAAAAAACTAAAGTCTTCATCGTCGCCCCCTTCTCCTCCGCTGCGCCAAGGGGCGGGGGGCGGGACGCGCGCCCCGACACACCGGCGAAAGCGCTCCGAGCCCTGTCAAATCCTTCCCATGGCTGCGGCGGCTGCTGCTGCTGCTGCTGCGGAGACGGCGCCCTCCTTCTCCTCCTCCTCCGGGTGCGCGTCCTGGGGCGGAGGGGAAGCGCCGGCGTCCCCGCTCCGGCCGCACGCTGCGGGCCGGGAGGCCCCGACGACGGCGGCGGTGGCTTCACTCCCGGCGGCGCGATGCCCTCCCGGCTTCGCCCCCCCGGGCAAAGGGCATCCTCGGGCGGTGCGTGTGCGGGGTGCGTGTGTGTGTGTCTGTGTGTGTGCGTCTGTGTGTGTGCGTGCGCGGGGCGGCGGGGAGGGGTAGCGGCGGCGCCCTCCCTCCCCGGCTCGCTCCCTCCCTCCCTCCGCTTCCGCGCCCTCCTCTCCCCCCGCCGCTCCCTCCTTCCTTCCCTCCCTCCCTCCTTCCCTCCCGCGGTCACACGCGGCAGGCGCCGCCGCCGCCGAGCGCGCAGCAGCCCAACATGGCGGCCGCGGCGGGGGGAGCCGCCGCCGAGCGCCGCCGCAGCGCGGGGAGCCGAGCCCGGGGCCGCCGCTACTGATGGGATTGAGGGGAGGAGGGGATGCTGCTGCAGCAGGGAATGCAGGGATACGGGCGGACCCAGGGATACGGGAGGGAGGGAGGGAGGGAGAGGGGAGGCCGCGGGCCGCCCGCGCTGGGCTACCCCGGGCGGACTCACCCGCCCGTCCGGGGATCCCTCCGGGGGTGTCCCCCGAGCCAAGGGGTCAGCCGCCGCCGTTCCCCGGCCCGGTTCCTCTCAGCCGCCTCCCCGGCAATTAATTAGGCCTTTGAGTAACGATCCCACCAGCCTCGTTAGGCCGGCGGGCAGCGGGAGCGGCGCCTGCCTGCTGTTCCAAGGGTGTTGGCCATCCGTGTCCGAGGGTATCTGCCGAGCTCCAGGGCGAGCGGGGACCCCGGCCGCCTCGCACTTCGAGGGCTAAAAACGTGACAGAAAATGAGTCGGCTCGTGGCGGTTCTGTCCTCACTTGCGAAGTGCCTCCCCTCCCCGAGGAGCCTGCTGTGCCACCCCAGCACGGGCCCGGAAAACAAGCTCGTTTCGCAGGCGTTTCAAACCCACATCAGTTCAGAGAGCTGAAGGATTTTCTTGTTGATCAACGTGTTTTATTTTAAAGAAGTATAGACTCAACGGCAGAAGCAAATCAGAGGATTGTGCATTGATCTTTTTCCAGGCATCAGGGAGCGGGCCCGACTCCAGGGTGGAAAATGGCAGCGGCCCAGCAGCGTGTGGTGGCCACTCTTTTCTTTGCCAAAGGTGTAAGGGATGTGCTGTGGTGGTCAGGCTACAGCAGGGCGTTGAATGTCATCTGTAAGTCAGCCCGTAACTTCAGTTCGTCCTTCCTCAACAGTCATGGAGGGGGGGGAACACAGTACAGCCTCCGAAGGTCACCGGCCATTGGTGGAGTTCAGTGTTCTCCAGGAGCCCACCAAGTCCTGTGTCTACTGGAGCTCCAGGGAAGGAAACGGCTCAGGCATCCGCTTCCTCAGTTCATTAACCAACAGAAGACCCTCAGCTGGGTTTTGGGTTAACAAGCATCTATATAACACTTTTTTCTTTTTAAACTGGCTTTTTTATCAGCTGATATAGAACATCAACAGTCTTACATTTCATCATGAAGATGAAATGCACAACACAATTAAAGTCCCATATGTTTGCTTGGGTTCACTCAGCTATATATAAACTCCCTGGTGTGAAGCTAGAGAGGACAGTGATTCCTACCCTGTATGTGTGAAAAGGCAGAGCAGACTGGATGTGGGGCTGGGAAAAGTCACCTTTCTGTCAGTGAGCCTGGGAAGGGTGTCCACCAGTTTCAACAACAGCCTTTCAAAGGAAAAAACACTCCTGCCTACTCTTAGTGAATGAAGAAATGTGCAGAGAATGTAATTCTAAGAGCCTTTTAGGCAAAAACCCTCTCAGAAATATTGGAAACTACTACAACTATAAGTAAGCTTTTAATGGGTAGAAGATAAGATTAAGCTGAGAGGACAGGGACAAGGAAAGGATTTCCTTCCTGTGCTGGGATACACCCTTAGTATGACAGGAGCTCTGTTGCGAGTACCCGGGGTGCTGCTGGTCGTTGTCTACTAAAGTCCCTGCAGTGCCTCCGTGGTAGGAGCCCTTTCCAAAGCTGTGGCACACAGGCAGTTTTACTGTGAGAGTAAGGCATTTCCTGCTTGCTTTCCACTGAACTTGTGGAAATTGTGATTGAAGCTGGGGGTGGGGGACACTGATGACAGCAATAAAAATAAATTGCTGTTGCCAGTGTGGGTGGATCAGTTCAGATCACACTTCCTATAGGGGTTGGAGACATATCGTCCAAGTTCATCATCACCATAGATTAACCATTAATAAGGTTGCAGAGGGAAAAGGGAGATGAGTAAGAGTCAAAGGGATGTTAGCCTCTTGGACTTTGGCACACCACTTGGTAGGGAAGAGAACTAAAGAACCATTGCCAGAGATATGATGGGTGTGGATATTTCACTTACTTATGTTACTGTCTTTTTCTCAGCCAATTATAAAATCTTTCCTTATTTTACTTGCAGACCAAGTGTTTGGAAACAAGGAAGGATACCCAGCAAAGGTGCTCGCTTTCCCTATATTTCAGGTTTTAAAGATGAACCCTTGTTTCTAGCAGCACCACTTGACAGAAGTTGCACAGCAAGCCAGTTCTTTCCAGCATTGCTTTCAGCTTGAGTGAGGCTACAAGAGGTAGATGTTCCTATTAAAACCATGCTATGTAAGCGGCAGTTGAACACAGAAAACACGAATTATTTGTTCTCTCCTCATTTAATAGCCTGTCCACAAATATATAGGCATCCCCACAACAACCGGTGATATGCCCACTGGGCTGTAATCAGCTGTTGTGCCACAGAAGCTGTGAGGAACAGGTAACACCAACTATGACTGGAGGCATTTTTATTTACTGGGAATTATCTATGTAGCAGATGAGTAATTCTCACAGTACACCCATGGGATAGAAAAATATTTTCTCTGCATTATAAGAAACACTGCAAGAGAGATTTTAGTCTGGAATATTTAGAAAACCAATAAAAGAATTCAGTGTAACACTCAGAAATTCCTTCCGTCTTGTATGTTCTGTCACTAAGACAGACCATGTCCTAAAAATACACCCAAGTTGTGCAAACATACCCCAGTATCTTTCATAATTATCACGGGTTTGTTTCACCCAGTTCTTGTTTTAATAATATCACAATAATATTTTCCTCCTATTGCTTAGCTTTACAAATGTTTACGGTACCTAAAACATAACTAATGATAATAAGGATTTTATATCTTACAACAAATTAAGCAAGCTGATAGCAACAGAGGGAATAGTGAGGAATGAGAAGGATATGCTTGAAACAATGTAGTTTATGTATTAACGTGTATGTTGAGTGCTGCAATACTAAATGTTGGTATAATAGAGTAAACAGCCTTTTCTCTCCAGGGGCAGGAGGTTTGTTGTTTTGGGTGAAATATTGTGGATATCTGGTTTTGATATGCAAACCACTTCTAAAGTTGAGAGGGGGCCCACATGCTTCCTGGCAGGTGAATAATGCTTGTGAGTGGTAGATCTGTTACTTGCTTAGGGACAAGTGCTCAAGAGTGGCACTTATGTGTTGACAAAATTTTACATCCAGGCTTTTCTGTTCTCCAAAACTTCACTTTGTAGACACATGTTGTTTGTAGTGGTATAGCAGTTCATCCCCCAGGGAGAATTTAGTAGTACTCTATGCAAAACCGGTGCTGGCACCCAATTTAGAGAACGTGCGTTTAGACATGTGATGGTACCATTTGAAAAGGGATCCTACAGCTGTCACCTGAATTATAGTAATAACTGAGGTTATTAGAAGTCTTTGCAGTTGGCTGCAGACAGAGCACACATTGGTTGCAGTCTAGGATGACCCTGAAGACCAGTGTGTGTGAATCAAGAAATACTTGTCCTATAATCTGTTACACTGTAGTTTCACATAAATCTTGCTGCTGGGACAAACTTAACTCTAGCAAACAGGTCTCTTCACTGAAACTGATGACTATTGCAGAACTTGATTAGTCTCAGTACCTATAATAATGCATTTAGTAACATACCTTAACATTTTTAAAGACTTGTAAACCTACTGTTCTTTTCCTCTCTAACTGCTTTGCCAAGACCTATTTCTCCTGTGAGGTCTACAGACAAGTCCAACTACAAGCACTAAATGGTACCTGGCAAAATTGATGCTTATTATTTACCTAATCCCAAAACAATTATAATAAATGTATATGGATATATAGACATTGTAAATATGGAATTATCTTTCTCTTTCCTCATGCTTCTTTTATTGGTCTTTGGAGTCTTATTTATAGTCTTAATGATTTTCTGTGAATGGCTGAACTGACTAATTTTACCTCAGAGACAAATTGCATCATGCTGATCTCACTGCACTGGTTCTGTGTCAGCCTGACTCCCCTGGTTTTAATCTTCATTTAAAACTAATGAGAATGTGGCCACCACCAGCATACAATTTTCTGTGAAGAATGAAGTGGTTTTGACCCTGCTGAAGTGTCTAGAGGTGCTGTGCTCTGAAGAGTAACAAGATAGCCTCTGTGATTAAAGAAGAGGAGAGGAAGTAATGGAATTACATTTATAACTGCATGAAATTGCTATAATCCGAATCCTGCTTTTATGATGCAAACTAGGAACTGACCAAAGTCACGTCTCATGCTGACCTCCAAACAGGACCCCGTCTTTGCACTCTTACAATGCTGTTTTATCTCTCAATATATCGTTTTCTTCCTATAAAAGTGGGACCAAGTCTGCCAAAGCTCTTAGGGATGCTGTAAACCTTAATTAACGTCAGCATAGCAGTCTGAAATTCTTTTTTATTTTCATTTCTTCAGTAACATAAATCTAAGAGTGGTTTTGTAGTCCATATTGTCTGCAACTTTTCAAGCCTTTAGTCCCTGCATAGTCCAGTTCTTTCTTGTGGATTTCTCTGTCTATGGTGATATTTTCTTCCACTGTGTCCCGAATCTGTTGACCGTGTTATGCCACCTTCAAAAGTTGAACTCTTCTCAAGATACTTCACTCTCTCAAATGAAGCTATTTAATGAGGTAGGACTCTTTCTCAGGTCAACTGGCTTTTCAAACTGAAGAGTTCTGAGGAAGACCACATACTTATTTGTGAAACTGTATGACAGATGCAAATTTCTGCCACTGCCACACGAGGCACAGCAAGATAATCCATTTATTCAAAAGAAAAGCAGATACATTTACATTATTTGGCTGATACCTATACAAAGCTAATGTTGCTCATCTTACAATTGGAGTAACTCAGCATGAGAGCTGCTTCTAAATAATCTCTCTTTGTAATGTTTCATAGTTTCAACTGATCATAATCAAGACTTTCAATATCTGTTCCTCTAAAATGAGTACCTCTTCTGGTGAACACCCAGTACTGTATTATGGAATTCTTTTTAATAAAAAGGATATACTTAGAGATTAATTCAGTGAGAATTAGCTGCGAAAGTGTTTTAAAAAATTGCAATGAGCTGCTACTGTCATGTAAGTAACATTTATGGGAGAGAGGAGGAATGAGGAAACTTGTGACTAAGAGATCTTTGATTGGGCAAGGAAACAGGATGAAGTGAGGAAAAATGGGATAGAGAGGAGGGAGGGAGAGAGCAGGATGATTAGTTTGGAAATCATATGGGAAGGAAGTGGTTTAGAGAGGGGAAGTCAAGGGCAGGGAGTGTGGTAAGAGAGAGGGAGGGAAGCTTGTGAAGAGGGAAAGGGAAAAAAAACTTATTTGTTAAAAACAGCAACTGTACTTAGATGAAAACAAGCCCACCAAGATGCATAATTTGGAATGTGAGCCCAGGGTGGATAGAGCTGGATTAACTTTATGTCAGGATTTTCATTTTGGATTTAACTTTTGGTCACAGAGTGCCCAGCTCGTTACAAAAGAGGATGCAAGAGATCACACACTGATCCTAAGTTTCCCAGGGTTGTGGAGTTTTCAGATTAGAAGTTTGACCAATTCAGTTGTTGTTTTAAAGTACTATTTTGGTTTATTTGAATTTTAATGAACAAATATGGATATATTGAAAACAGCAGTGGCTATTTTATGTACTTATTTTTAACTTAAGAATTGTAAAAATAGCATCAAAGCTCTAAAATACATATTTCATTGGAAAAATAGGTACAGGCAATGACAACAGATGTAATTCAGGCAGAAGTCTGTTTTAATCAGAGATAGGACACTTAATGTAAAGAGAGACTTCCATCATGGTCTGCAGATTGAAATCACAATATCCTGGCTTATCAACAGTTGGCATTTAGAGTTTGTTTGCTAAATTTATTTAGATGGAGAGGCAGCAAGCCCCATCTCTCTCTTCATGGATTAAATTTGTAATCAGTCATCACATTTTAAGTAGGTGATGACAGTGGTGCAGCTAACAATGACTAGAAACCAGCAGTTTTGTTATTTACCAATACTACATTTTGTGGATTGATTCCTTCTGCAGTGAAAACTAATAGAAAAAATGAAGTGTTCTGTAAAACTTGAGAGACTTGTAGAAAGCATTTGGTGTAAATAAAGGCCTTTTGCCACTCAGCAGGTAGCTTCAGGTCACCTCCCAAAGAGAAGAAAATCTTGAAATCATAGAATCATAGAATGATTTGGGTTGGAAGAGACCTGAAATATCATCTGGTTCCAACACCCCTGCCATGGGCATGGACACCTTCAACCACGTTGCTGGAGGAAACCAGGTTGCTCAAAGCCCCATCCAATCTGCACTTGAACACTTGGGGATGAGGCATCCACAGCTTCTCTGGGCAACCTGTGCCAGTGCCTCACCACTCTCATAGTGAAGAATTTCTTTCTACCATCTAATCTAACCATTTTAAAATGTTATGAAGTGTTCAGTAATTATCCCACTCCTATAAATGCCAAAAAAAGCCTCCTTGATCTCAGCAAGAACATAAGTGAACTCATAATTCCTTCTGAAACAAACAAAACTGTTTGGACTCAGTCTTATGAAAAATGAGAGTGGTTTATATCTTTGCACAGTGTCAACCATTTGTCTTTGTAAACTGTCAGTGCACAAATTAAGAGGATTTAATTATATGGAAAGGTTAGAAGTGGTTTTTGAGGTAGAGAAAGACAAATATTTGTACTAGTTTAATAAAAAAGTGTGAACATAACACTGGCTTGGATCCTCATGTGTGGATAGCACTGGAAATAATTGTACTTGTGGACGGAGGTGCTGGCCAGTGGTACAGCTTATTTTTGTTATAGTGCTCCTTCTGTGAAGGTCACCTCTTACAGAAGTGAGAGCAGATCTGCTGGCATGAGTGCTCCCTACCTGCATCAGTGCAAGCGGGCGAGGTTAGCAGTGGAGCACTATGTCATTGTTTCAAGTAACCCAGTCACTTTGGCTGAAATAAGTTGGGGCTCACTTAGACCTTCCTAGACATCAAAAGGAGGGACAGTCTCCAGCATGTGGGCAAAGACAAACGTCAGAGATGGTGTCATGAACAATAACCTCTCCTAATGGGCTACACATAGTAGATAGGGGCACACACAGGTCAGGAAAAGGACATTGCTCTACAGTCACAGTCATTCAGCTGGGGATGAGTTTAAGTGGCAGTGAAATTTTCTGAAGGCAGGAGTGTTGCTATTGACGGCATTAATTCAACTCAATCAATCAAACTGAAGACAAGGACTAAAAATACTAATTAAAAGTAAATATTTCCAATCACAGTAAGTTTTAACAACCTGTAACTTGAAAGTCATTTGGCTGATTTTCCTCAGTTTTTGCAAAAGTGACTAAAATACACCTGGCAAGCTTCAGACTCGAGCAGCTTTCCAAGCCAAAGTTATGATGAAGGGATGGAAACAGGGTGCTATAACAGAAGTTAGCTTCAGCCTTAACCAAGGAACTGTTGCTGCCTCCCCTTAATGTCCCAAGATATGCCAAAGCAGACTGTAGATGAATTAAAATCATTAAATAAAATGGAATGTTAGTAAAATTTTAGGCAAGGTATATATTTGTCTGTCATAGAAACATTAATCGTGATACAGCTATGTCTCAAAACCTTTTCTTTCACAGTTTGCTCAGAAGACCAACAATTTCTATGTGTGGTGCATCAGGAGGAAGGAAGGTCTGGCCTCATTCATCACCTGGAATCCAGCATTTGCTGCCATCAATTTCTTGGCTTCCTCCTGAAGAACAGGATTTCATTTTGGACGCGGTGAAAATTGGAGTTCCAATTTTCCAATTGAAATTGGTAACAAAAAAATATTTTTGAAGATGTTATAAAAGTTCACACTTTTACAATGAAGAATGATAGTCATAGTTGTGTCTTCTCAAAAAAAGACATTGGCAGTTATTGGCTGTTTTTTTTGCTTTTTCAACAAAGTGAAGATTTTCTTCCCTGACCAAATAATAAGGAGAGTGGCTAGTGGATGTATAATTAGCTTCCAGCTATGGCTAGCTCAGCTCTACACAGCAGCAATCCTACAGTCACTAATCTCACTGCTGTCTACTACAGGAGGAGGAAATGAGCTGGGCCATGGTCTCTGAACCTCATCCTCCCTCTGGTCAGGGACTCTGGCAGACCCGGGGTGCAGAGCCGCAGGATGTTGAATTTATTGCTCCCGTTTGCTTCAAGGCCTTTCCTAAGACTTAATTCCCTCACCCTGCAGTAAAAGTGATAATAATGAAAAGGTCTATGATTCACAGTAAAGCACTGTATCTTATTTAAGTTAAACAAGTACCTAAGTGCTCTGCTGAACTAGGGCCAAGGGTGGATTACTGAGAGAGCTGGGCAGCCTTCCCATCTCCAGCCAGTTCACCAAGTAGTCTCAGGCTAATCATGGAGTTGTTCTGGGGCTTAGTTTCCTGTGCATGTTTATCATAGGGTATCTATTCTGACTGGTAGAGATAAGGAGATAATGTGGGAACATGAAAAAACTCTTCAGAACATCATGAAAGCTGTAGAAAAAACAGGCTTCTGCATTGGATATACATTGCATGTTACATTCTCCTTGTGACTTTTCTTTAGTTTCTGGATTCTAATCAGTACTTGTGAAAAAAACATCAGGCAGCTCATTAACAGAGAGCCTATTTGCACTTGAATGGCAAGAGTGTAGTCTGAATCCCACCTAAACCAATAGAAGATCCAGTGCTGCATGCAACCAGCATTCCAGAGCAGCTCAAACTGTGTTGCCTTCAAGCAGCCTCATCATCCTGCCAGCACTGGCCTGCTGCAGGGTGAATCCAGCAGATTTTGTCCAGGCTGTTGCCTTCGTGCTGTACAGCAGCCTGAAAAATTAACTCAGCCCCCTTTGCAATGGCTTATTAAAAGGGAACTAGAACAAAGTTTGGAAGTTTGTGCCTAACCCGCACTGAGAGAGTTTCCTCTGATCAGATATGGAGCTTTTAAGGCTGTTTTGCATTTCTCTGATTCCTACCTGGCAGAAAGTGACTAGAGAAAGGGCAAGGGTGTCACTGTGGAGAGCTTTTTATTGATATGAGAGAGGCCTGGTTACCACATAATAGTTTGCAAGAACAGACTATTCTTTTAACACTTTTTCTACTTGGAAATTCATATTACATTTTGCAAAGTTAGAGCAAAATAGCTTAGTGTATTGAATTGCCAGAGAGCTATCCTGAGTACATACATTTACTGTATCTTTTGATACAGAGGAAATTAGCATAAAAAAATCTTTACTAAGAATAGATTGTGGTAGAATATTAGTTTTGTAGAATAACAAACAGACAGGAAAATATAAACATGCTTATCCATCCTGTACAAGATAAGAGCTGAGGTAAGGTACTGTCCTCATTAACAGCTGCTAGCTGATGTTGTAAACACAATTGTGGGGATTTTAATATCACATTACAGCATTGTGTGTGAAACCAGAAAAAACAAGTGCTACTTTTTGTGGATTTTTTTGACCTACAGTTCTGAAAGAGATTGAGCTCTTTTTTCTTTATAATAAGCAGCCATATTTTGTTTATCCATAGATAAAGCAGCACTGTAGCGTAGTTCTGTTTCTGTGACCCCCTCAAAACCTTTCTGCAGGCATTTCCTGATTCCCAAGTTCTGCAGATTTAGAACCAAAAAAGCCAGAAGAGCAGTGAGTATCAGCAATATTTCCTTTTTCTGTTGGATGTTCATGGGTCAGTCCTGCAGGAATTAGCACAGACCGAAATAAGTATTTTTGCTCAGGGTCCCCCTTCTGCAAGGATAGAATTCCCAAATTCTAATCTCACCCCCAATTTTGACTCACTTTCTGTCCCTGTAAGACATGAGGTAGCTGGGGCCAACATGCAGACAAAGGATTATCACCCAAAGCGAATGGGCTGTTTTCAACTCATCCTGCATAGCTGTGGATTTGAAGGCTTAATTCCTTACCTCTTTTGTGGCAAGTGAAGGGAAAAATCCAGTGGACCAATAAAAGAAATGGAAATAGAGGCAATGGGAAGTGGAAGTGGTTGTGGAAATGGTGTTTGTGGAGAGGGGGCTGTAACTGAGTTGTATCCCATGTGAGTAGCTTTCAAGGCCCACCATTCCATCTTTGCAGGGAATGCACAAGAGAGCAAGTGGTATTAGCCCATTCTGGTGATTTCCAACCATGGAAAAGATCTCCTGAGCTGTTTGCAGCTGATATGGCAGACCATCTTTACCTGACTCAAGGCTGCAGGTGAGGAACTGCATAGTTAAAAACTGTCCCTTGTCATCTCCTCTGGGATATGATGTGTGGGAAAATCTTGATCCTGACAGACAGCAAGTCCAAGGTTTGCCAGTCCTTAGCTGGAAACAAACTGTTTAGAGAAGACTTAATTCAGGGACAAATACTATGACAGAAAAAGCAAATCCTAAACATAAGCATGATATTAAAGACATAACTCGGTTGCAGAAAAAACCCAGAACACTACAAATGCAGGCAGTGTTCACTAGATGCATTGTTCAGCTAGGATGGAGGTTGGTCCTGAAGTTAATGAAAAAGGATGTGATTCATCCCTTACTGAAACTCATCAAAATTTCTCATCAAATGATTAAAAACATTAATTTGTGCATTAAATAAAAGTGGACAATCCATCAACAACATAAAGTCTGTTGCTTAGAGAGAAAGAATACATAGTATGTAATTACAATACCACTGAAAAATACAGCTTATCTTTTTAGGTATGTCAGCTGTCCAGCTGCACTTAAGTATATTTCACCGTATCCATTACATTTGCATACGATATATGTAAATTAATATGTCCTTAACTCATACCTATTTCTGTATGCATAGATGTAGTATGCATGTATATGCATGTATACATACATAGGTATGATATAAGCGCATATTCATTCAGAGCATTTTAATATAGTTAAAAAACACTGTGCCAAAAATGTACACCATCTGTTTTCAATCAAAATAGCCTATTTCAGAGGAAGGGAGTGTTGTCTGGTGATCAGAGCAGGGGAACTAAAGAGTCAGGACTCATGGATTCCATTCCTGAATCTGCCAGGAATTGGCTGCATGGTTTTGACAGGGTCTGTGACTCCTGTGTACCCTGCTTTCCCCATTTGCAAGATGGAGCAGTTTCTACTCCCGAATGTTGCAATGGAAAACATAATTAGTATATGCTTGGAAAAATACAGAAGTTCTTTTTATATCATCATGGTATGTTTGAAGAGTGGAATTTACTTGAGAAATACAGTAGAGGATTTGTTTCAGAAGACATACATAGCAGCTACGTGTATAATTACAGCTATTTGTACACATGTAGGTTGCCTAATTTTTCAGTGATAATACCTGTAATAAAATTAATGGGGGGAAAATGGTGCTCAACACTCTATGAACCCAGCCAATACTGTAAAAGTTTTCACACTCTATTGAACAGGGTTTCCACGGTGACAGCCCTACACCAGTGAGTGAAATGTGTGCTGTACCTAATTTTCATCCTGAAATAGGAAAATACAAATGGGTATTGGGATTTTCTGGTAGGTTCCCTGCAGAGAAAGCCTAGCTCCACTGAAGACAATTACAATACTCCTATTAACATAATTAGGACAAGATTTCACCCCATCCGCTTCCTTAGCTTCAGTGTGTCCCTTTCAGGAATACAGCAGGGGCTGCTCAGCACATCCCACAGTGCTTCCTCTTGGGCATGTTGGCCACGTTTGTACTGTTGCACAGAACAATGTCCTTCCTGTGCTCGGTGGTCTGCACAGGGCGGCCCAGCCTGGGTGTGGTGGGAGTGTGCCAGGTGCTCCTGTTCTCCCACCATCCTTACCTACTGATTCCCAAACTCCTTAGATTTCCCCATAGCGTGCACATCTGTGGGGTGTTAAGGCTGTGCCTTGCCTCTGGAGAGGGAGATCAGAGGCGCTTTCCATTGGGATGAGAAACACCATATAGCAAACTGCATAAATGCAGCAGCCACATAGTGTTGGAGAGGAAAAGGAACAGTGTTTGTACTTCAGGGTTTGCCTGGCTGCCAGTACGAAAGTGGCAGTGAGAAATCATGTGTGCTGAATGCTGCTTATGTATGCTGCAAACAGAGGCATTCAACTATGTGATAAATACTTGATGTAAATACAAATGTATTTCAACATCTGTGTCTTTGTCACCAAGAAAAGTGGGCTGAGCTTGTTTGGTTTGGATGTTTTTGACAGCTGCTGTTCCCCAGGTTGCACCTCATATCTCAATAGTGTGCTCTTGCTTAAGTGCAGCTTCAAAAGTACATTTAGGATCTTACCATGTACACACCTAAAATGAGCCAGTTGCTCATCCAAGTGAGCTGGTGTAGTGACATACATGATAAAGCAAGAAAAAGTCAAGGCAATATGGATTTCACAGCTGTTAAGTGGATTTACAGGTTTGTCACTCAAAGAAATACTTTTACCCAAATGAGTGAGCACAATGTACAACATAAGATTACTTTGAAGAGACAAAGCAGTTGATTCAAATACCAGCTTTTGAGAATTGTATTTCCACGTCTGAGATCTTAAAACTTATCTTCTGTCTTTGTCTCTGTGAATGTATCTGCTGTTTGGATCGCACCTGCTACATTTTAAAGAAAGGCTGTGTTCACTTGGTGCCTAGGAAATACTTTGTAAATCCGGCTTTCAAGCCTCTTTCAAGCCTATGGAAAGTTTCCATCATATATATGAGAGTTTCCATTATAGATATGTACCATATTCATTTTCAGCCTCCTTGAGTCAGAGCGTTGAAGATAACAAACTTGCTGACTAGGATAAGCTCTTCTTCAGTTCTTGAACTTTTGTAAAATGAGATTCCTCTTTAAAGGAGGTACAATTACCAGCCAAATGAGATAGCAGCTTCTAATTTCAGGCTACCAGTAGGGCTTGGTGGGAGGGGACCAAAGGATCTAAATCCTACTTTCTACTTGTGACAGTCTGTACCTGGAGGGGAGAGGGGGAGATGTATCTCTCATGTGCAGTAAATGAGAGCAGTTCATTCAATTGATTCATGCAGTAGGCTCATACAGACACCAGAGGCTCTTCTTATGCACGGACTTACCTTTTGGGAAGAGAGAGGTTTTGCTCTTATGGCCCATTTGTTTTTCTGCCTCTCCGCTGTGACTTCTAGCAGGGAGGCATGAAATAAGGGTGCATTGCCAAATGAGTATCAGCCAGTTCTGGGGCCAGGGCCAAGAGGCAGTGATACGGAGCTGGTGAAGATTGCTGCCTTTTGGCATGCCCATGTGGAAGGCAGTAGATTCCTCGGTCTGACCTTGAGAAGTCAGGAAGAGGATGAGGAGGCTGAGCCAGGCAACCCAGCTCCCTGCAGAGACCACAGCAGCGTAGGGTTTGCTGTAGGTTATCTGTAACAGCCACTTCCACTGAACTAGAGCAAACAGAGTTTGGCACAGGCAGGCTTGGAAGGCCTGCTGGGTTCCCTTGTTTTTGAGGACACTTGTCTGACCCAAATAACAAGGATTTTGCACATTGCCAAAGGCACTGGACATGTCAACAAATGCATAAAAGTGTTTGGTTTACCACCAGACTGAAAAAATATTTAGAATCTGGAAGGCAATAAACTGCAGATTTTTTTCCCTGTCACCCCAAAGAGCATGACTTTTAAATTATGTATCACTTCCTAAACCCAAAAGTTGTTCTGCAGTCTGTTGGTGATGGTGTTCTCAGGAATTTGTAACTAAAATAAACTTTATTTTGTGTTGTAATACCTTTTCACTATATTCAGGGATTATTCCTGACAGTGTCAAAAAAGGGCCTCATGACTTCAGTTCACGCAAACTGCTCAGAAGAGGGGGTAAGAGAAACTTACTTAAATTCTTTATTCACATAAGATAGATGCAGTTTGTCAATGACTTTTTGACTGTGGAATTCTGCAGGT